CAACGCGATTTTATGAAACACTCCCTAAAGCAATGAACAAATTGAAAATGCTTGATATTAACTTTAATGGTATTCATGTTCTATGCTGATAAACTCTTAAATGCTGAACATTGTTCTAATACTTCCGAAAACTTTACTACGGTAACTTTATAATTTTTTCACATAAAAAGAAACGCTTAAAAGCAACATAGTCTAGTTCACTTTCAAGAAGTTATTCAATTTTATAGTTCAATAAAAATTTGAAGAATGGAAAGACATTGAACAAAGTTTTTTACTTCCTTATTTTCCCTGAAAATACCTCTTGCCTTTATTTTTCGCCGTTGCTCATTCAACATTATTCGCCATAAAATCGAGACATTAATCAGCAATGCCATTTGGGACTCCATTATGGCCCGGCAGCGAGACAAAATACCTTCACAATCGAGCACCAGGCTGTTAAATATCCAGTGAAATCGTCTAATTAAAAGATATACTGCCGACTTGAGTCGTCGATCCAAAGCCAAGGGAAAAGCGAGAGAGACGAGCTCCTTGCCTAATCCTCAGCTACTTATGGCCCGGCTTGAACGTCTTTCGGTTCGCTTTGGCTGGTTTTTAGGGCTTTGTGCTCCCTCAACACGGTTTTATGGCCCAGGGCTCTTGAAATTAGCGCGTCCGCCGTCCAAGGACGAGTCCACCGGCCACCTCCTGCTCCTGCCAACCCTCTGGCCGGGCTGTCATATTGATTTTTCGCTTTTTTGGACAAACTCTGTGGGAAAGGACCTGGCATCATAATTGAGGCCGCAATCTCCGACGTGCTGCGCTAATTAATTTTTATTGGCTTTAAAGCAAATGCGAATATTTTATCCCGTTTTCATCTGGTTGCTAAATTTATGCGCTGGCCTTAAAGGAAATTAAATTCATTAGTGGTGTAGTCAAACTTTTGTTTAAAAACCAGTGATTTATTCTCTGTTCAGTGCTCAACATTCTCTTTCAGTCGGAAACACAGCGGAAAGTAAAATTGGATTTCGTTCATATCCTTTGCATTTTGGCAACGTGTCAAGGGCAAGTTAAATTTGTAGAATTCTCTCGTCGGCCGAAAGCCGAAACGAAACCTTAAAACTTGGGGACAACTTTTGTAGCAACTTTATAGTTAGATTAAAAGCATTTCCCGGCAAAATGGGAAAGTTCCTCCTCGTTCGCCGCCAAAGTCTATCTATGTAGGTGGATCTGTGTTTGGGTGTGGTAAACAGCCAGAAAGTCGCATTTGTTGGCAGACAAAATGGAAGTGGTGACTAGATGAAGCAAACCACTGCCGCCGGCAATAAAAATCTATTACATTTTGTGAGACACAACTTTGATTTTACGAACTGTCAAACTACACAGATAGAGACGAAAGAGCCTCATACATATGGATGGCTGGGCTTCTGTATCTGAATTCCGCCGGCGCTAAAGTGAAATAAAAACCGACGCTTCAAAGTTTGCTGTCAAGCGCAAAAACTTATGCAATGGTTTTATGACGCAGCGCCAAAGGACATGGAGGATGCTCAGCTCCTTGAAGTATGCTATACATAATGTAATAAACATTAGACACTCCTCGTCGCATATCAGGTTGTAGCCACGCAACATCAAAGGCAAATAGTTGATGAGAGTTGGGGCCTTTTTAAAACACTCTCTTGCATAACTGGGTATAAATATCATTCGTTACTGAAAGTAAAATGTTCAAATTAAGCCAATTCGCTTGTAGTTTTAGTTAAAGCTGTTCCGAGTGAACATATGTAAATCCTTGTTCTAAGCTAAGCTCTTTTGCATACATTACCATAAGTTCACATGCAAATGCCAAGAGTCAGCTTTTCCAATTCATCTGTTTGTCGAGCTCTTCGAAAGTTGTTTTCATTTTTCCCTGCTTTTATTAAATTCCGAAACTGGCATAGAACAGACAAATGCCTGAAAAAATGAAACAATTTTTAGAGGAGCACAAAAAAAATTATAATCGCTGGCAAACAAAAAAACTTGTAAACTTTAACGTTGGGGGAATAATTTTTAGACCATTTGCTGGGATCATGGAGGAAAAAGAAAAGTTTTTAATTTGTTCATCATGCCGGCAAAACTGAATTATCATTCAACGCGGAGGTGCTGATGCCGGATTACCCTCATAATGGAGGTAGATGGATTTGCCTCCATCCAGGATTCCAGTTTGTTGCCCATAGCCAACTTGTGTACAATTGCACTGCCATCATGTGCACAGAGCGGAAAATCACATGAAAAAGCCAACTTGAGCGCCCAGTGGGGAAACTTTGCTCAACATTTATGTAAAATTTTGAGTTAATTAGTTTGATTTCATGCTTCAAGTGTCGAGCATCCACTACGGATTGCCAATTCCATTTGCCAACTCATTAAAACTTCTCCAAGTTCCCCAGTTACGCGATGCCTCTGAAAATTGGAAACGCTTTCTGACGACTTTGGCAAATGAATGTCAAAACAGAAAGTATTCAATGGCGTATCTGACTCGCAGCCTTTGTCCTTCTGGGGGCCATCTTACATACACAAAGTCACTAACTGGTTCGCAGAAGTTGTCAATTAGTTCCGCCAAAATTTAATAAACCGTGAAATTTTAATTAAGGCAGGAAAAGTATTGCAAAATGTTCAACGTTTTTCTAGATAAAAGGGTTCTGATTTAAAGATAATCATTCGGTTATTTGAGTTTTTTGATATATCAGTTACATAGAAACAAATTAATTTTATTTTCCATGTCTTTTAAAACACTACAAAACATTTAGTGGAAATCGTATATGGATTTAAGAATATATTGTTTTTGAAAGATGTTATATGTTTCGGTTACTCATTTTATTTATAAATTAAAAACTTGAAATTGTATTTTTTCACTGGATGTGACCTTTGCAATTAGATTTTCTGAATAGGATGGACATTTTAAAACGTTGAACAGTCAGAAAAAAGATTTACCTCATTAAGCAAGCTAGAAAATGGCTATGTACACTTTTTACAATCTGCCCAGAAGCGCATGAAAAGCTCAGCAACTGAATCAAAAAGAGAACTACATGACAGCAATGTAAATGCGATATGTAACACGTAATTTCATTGCGCCAACAATGGCAATGGCATTTGCGAGTCCTGGTGAGGATGCTGATGATGATGTTGCTGCGGACAGGGAAGCGAATAATTGTGGAACATCATCCGGCGAGGATGGCCGTGTCAATGTCAATGTACAGAGTGTACAGAAAACACGGGGACCGACATGTGGCTCTGATTAGTGCGGTTCAGCGACATCAACAATCAATATTAATGCATGTCGGCGCCCAGAAATGTGAATGTGCGAGTGAGTGAGCAAGGACATGGCCGTAATTATGAGCCCATCAACGCAATAGTTGGCTCTTGGCTGTTAATAATTCTCGATTTCCCGATACTGACAGACTCTTGGGCGAACGGGGTGTGCGACTTGCGGGGATGCCCGAGGCACCTCCATTCATCCATTCCTCCATCAAAGGCATCAATTGCCGCATGGGAACAATTTGAGCGAAACTTGGCTGGCAGCATCCGTCGGAGGACTCAGCTCCCTCGAGCTGACAATAAATATTTTCGCTTTGCTGACAGGCTGAAAATCAATACACACTCTTAGGACAACACTCGCACACATTCTCGCAGATACACACACAAAACTTTGGTATACATTTTCATTCGGTTTTGCACGCACTGTGGCCGAAAACCCACCAAATTGCACCCACTCAACCTCAAACAAGAGCCATGCATAAATGAAATAAATTTCACTTACGTCACAAGGATACACACAATGCAAGCCACAAATCGCATTTCAAAACTCTGCCAGAGCATTTCGAGTGGAAAACATTTAAAGAGACAGTCATTTAATGGGGAGGGAACTGGACTTATGAATTAATTTGCTACATTCAAGTTGTCAAATTTAAATTGAGTAAATAAAAAGATTCTTTGGAATTAGGGGTCGAGATAATCATTAGAGCCAGCTAACAATTTAATAAAAGTAAGTTAAATTAGGTGCATCAGGTCAAATAATCTTTGCCATGTTAAACAAAACAACAAGTATAAACAATATAAACAAGTAATTTTTGTAATAGAAACATGCCTTGCTATTCAATTAAATAAAAATTTGCCTGCTCCCCCGAAGCAACCATTATACATTTAATAAAAGACAAGCAAAGTTCCCAGAGAAGTCTCTTCACTTTAAGGACACTTATTTTTCAGTCATTGAAAAAGAAACCACTTGGGGTGTAGAAAATCTCACCTAAGAACTGTCCCAACTGTCAGTCTGTGGTCGGCTGTCGTTTTCTTCCTCCCGACATTTAGCCCCGAAAAACCCAACTCAATTTTCAATCCGATACGACAAAATTGTAAAAAAAAAAAAAAAAAAAAAGTGGAATGCTAGAGGTTCCTGGAATGAAGGCGAACAAAAGGCAAAAGTAATTTCGCCAACACTAAATCTGTGGCATATTACACAGGACACAGGCCAAAGCTGCCAAGAGAAATCTGATCCACTTAGTTGCCAAGAGAAAGCAATAAATTCTTATGAAAACAGTTGAGGAGCAGCGACACGTCCCTGTGCAAAATGAATTGAACTTTTGGTCAACGTGGAAATTGCAGTGATATTTGGGCCTACAACCAGGGGACTGGACAGATGAGCCCCCGAGTTCGGCCCAGAGCAAACAAGTTCCCGTGCCTTTTTCGATATTTATGAGTGGGACGCGGGAAAACTTTGCAGGGGGACAACAAGAGGAGACCAAAATCAAATAAGCTCGTGCGATAGGCTCTGAATGAAAATAAAGTGCAAAGTAGTCTGTGTTTTGGTGTGTGAAGTCCCGCAAGGACACTTGGCCAACGCTGAGCTCATAAATTTCAGGCCAAATTTTCGCCGGTTTCTGGAAAGCTTTAAGCCAGAAAGTGGCGTCAGTGCGACGAACTAACACACAGGTTGAGGCTAGCCAGATTTACACAAAGAAAAACTTAATAAATATTTTATAAATAAAACACAAAACTAGCTTTGTTAAGGAAAACTTTAATAGATTTTAAAATTCTTGAATCTTTTTATGAATTCACCTTGTTTTTTACTTTGCAAGTCCAAACTTGCGATAAAGCTTGTTAATAAGATAGCTTGAGAGGTTTTCAACTAATGCCTTTGAGGAACTATTTAGCAAGTTTTTGGCATCTTTTTTGACATTGTCAGGAACGGCTTCAGAAGCGGACTTTAAGCCTCCTAGTATGTTCCAAAAGCCTCCTTGGGCTGGCACTCCGTCTATTAGTACAGTATTTCCCTTGAAATCATTGACTTGTGTGTTCAACTCCGCTTCCTCAACGGCATTTGATGCGACCTGACCCTTGTATTTCTCGAAAATTTCAATCACTTCATTGGTAATTCGCAACTGGGTGTCAACATCAGTGGTTTGCTGACTTTGAAGCTGGAGTTGCTGAAGCCTATTGCGATCTTGATCAATCATTCTGGCCTTTCCATTGCCCCAGAGGCAGAACAGCACAGCCAGGATAAAGCTGAAATTAAGAAAGGATTTATATTTTGAAGTTTAAGTGTAACACTAGCTTTACCTTGTTCGGATGGCGAAATGCATAGTTACTTTCTTCACTTGAGGGACTCTTGTAAACTAATGCTGCTTGCATGAAACGCTTCCCTTTAATAGGCAGCTCTGGATTGAAGTGGAGGTTGGACGCAAGACATGTAAAATCATTAAAATGATAATGATGGGATTTCAGCGAATACTTGGAATAGAAACTGATAATCTTCCTTTTTTCTTATTCTGGCGATAGTGGGAAATTCAGTTCTCGGGTGCATTGCCTTTCGATTAATTGAATTGATAATTCCAGCTTTCCGAGAATTCTCAAGTCGTGGAATACAGCGTAAATAGCAGTCATAACAAAAATATTGCGCATACGCAATTGTACAACCACTATTTGATTATTGAATCAATAAAAACTCTTATTAAATCACAAAAACTGTCAATTAGCGGTAATTAATTATTCATGTTAATGAAAACAACTTATTTGTTGCAATTCTATATGTAACTCATTTATTGTAGTTTTTCCTGTGTATGCCAATGTTTTTGCAAAGACCTTCGCAGTCGGTAATTGAAATTCAGTGTTTGTGTCACGACACAAAACTTAAACAAAACAGTAGCCTGGCCTGGCAGAAAGTCAGCGGCAAGCAGAGTTGGCAGCCCACGAGAAGGACATTAAATTAAGTCTCCTGCCAGGAAGATCAAAGTTTTCCAACCACACTGTTGCGCACCGCCGACTTTGCATGTGTGTGTGTGTGTTTTTTCGCCTTACACGTGCTTAAGGAGCCCTTTGTTGGTGCAATAAAATGGTAAAAGGCAAAGCCAAAACAGTAAGTCGACATGCAAAAAGGATACACGTTGTAAAAAGCGCATAAACTTTGCCGAAAGTGACAAACAAAGAGGCCAGCAAACTCGCTCGCACACAAGGGCCAACCTACATTGTGAAATGTGGTGAGGGGGGAGGGGTGCCAAATGGATGGTGTAGGCCAAACAAAAGGTAGGCGAAATTGAAGCCGACTTGATGGGCTGTAAATGGCAAACTTTTCTTTTCGGTTTTCCGGCCTTCACACATTTTTTTTCCCGCCCGTACAGGTGCTAAAACTTTATCAGCATATGCGTGCGGCATGAGAAACCACTCGAGAAGAGCGAAAGATAGCCGATTCAGGGAAGGAAGCGTGCTGGAGTATCTATCTATTGTGGTCCCCAACGTTGTGCCTTATCTTTGCATTTAAATTAGACTTCTGCTCATAAACAAACGAAATTGAATTTTGCCAAAAGCAGTTTTTGGCGGGTGGGTGAAGACAGTTTTTGGTGCTTGGGCTGGATAAGTAAGGAAAATCCCCTTCCAAAGTTTATCTGTACATATACTTAACATAATGGAATGGGACTTTCCAGAGTAGAAAATACTCAAGGCTTTCGAAATACGCAGCCCAGTAAATGTTTATCCGGAAACAGCTAAACAATTTTTAACAAACATAGTTTTCTTTAATATAATATTTATTTTTTAACTTTTATTTAAATTGGGTAAATATAAATATAGCTACGACCAAATATGATTTATCTACTTTAAAACATTCTTTAAATGGTTGTTTGAAGTTGTTCTTACAATTCAAGTGAGCTAAGCCATTTTCTTTTATCCCATTCCAACTCACCTAATGGCATTCAGCCAGAAACTAAAAACTGTCGTTATTTCTTTCAATTTCTTTGCAACCGAAAAAGTTGAAACACTTTACTAGCCAAGCCTGAAAAGCCAGCCACGCCAGAAGTTCAACCAATGCTCTTGATTTGCTGGCAGGGATGAACATGTTTTTGGCCATGTAAATAGTTGAAGGTCATGCCAATAAGCAGAATGCGTATTCTGTTTTGGCAGTCGACAACGGAGCAGCTTGTGTGCCTGAGCTTTCGCCTGCAGGATATTTCATTTCCACGAACACAGCTCATCTCAGATCGTCTGTGCTCAGCTCGGTTTTGTCTGGCTTTTTGCAGGGACAAATACTTGACTAGGCGAAAATGCTGATTTTATTTTGTGTGCCACATTGTCACATGATAATCAGGACGATATAGGCGATAATGTAAGAGCCTACACACGACAACAGGATAGGGCCAAGAGCCCTTGTAAGCAATGGCTTAGCAAAAGGAGGGAAAAAAGGACCCTCATGCAACAGGACAGATTTTCTTCAGCCCCAGGATGAATTCCACACAAACATAATTAGGAAGTACTGTCTGCTGGTGTTAAGGTCTCGGATCCTAAGCTTTCCCGGGAAAAAATGCCATGCAGAGGGCTAAAGTTGCTTGGCAACCTTTTCCCTTTTTGCTTTTGCATTGCGTGAACTCCATTTGCATGTTGTGTCATCAAATCCTTTTGGCCCACTTCGTTAGCTCTTCTAAAATACACAGCCACCCGACAAACATAAATGGTCAGAAAGAAAATACTACAATTTCCATAGTTCGACACCCCTAAAACGTGATATTTTTCAATGTATGTCAGTATATATCAGAATTAATAAAAATAAATAAAATTGAGGACAACATATTTATGATTTAGAATAAATATATTTCTAAATTTTTAACTTTCTATAATTTTTATATAGGGAAGTTCGACTGTAAACAAGGACAGGTGGCCACTGCAGTTGACACTTCGATAAGCAGGTGTTAGCCCGATGTGTTTAGCCGTTGTTATTCAATTTAATATTGGGCTTCAAGCTCCGGATCCCGTGAGTGTTTGTGCTGGTTTGTGTATGTTGGTTCTTGGGCAAGCATTTAATTAAACAAATTGCCAGCAGCAGCGTTAACAAGTTTAGTAAACAGGAAGGGGAGATGTGGCAAGGAAGGGATCAACTTTACGACACATTCAGAAGTCAAATGCCACAGCTGATGGCGTTGATGAGGCGAGCACACACTAGTGTGCCCACCCACACGGATGTCCTGTGGTAGCCGGGAAAACCCACTCTCCTCCGAAGGACCCTGTCAGACGCTTTCGACACTTGCATGGTAATTACTTTCCACATTCCTTGTTTCGGCCAGACAATCAAAAACTTTCACCAGGCGAAAACGAGTTTTTCTACAACACCGAAAAAAGCATTTTACACAAAAATAATAATTGCGAAAACTTTGCCAAAAACATCCTACGGCCGTCCAGTTGCCCGAGTGTTGATTGAATTTAACACAAACTTTGTTGGCCATATTAAGTGAGTAAAGTGGCCTGGATTCCATCCTTTGTAAATTTGAAAGTGACCATTTTTCGTTTCTATCTGAATGGATGTTTTTCGGTTTTATGATGCACCACAATAAGCAAAAGCAGCGGGAAAAATGCTTACCAGCAGTTATGAATATGCATTTTATGGATATGAAGATCTTTCCTTTTGCATTTAATTACATATGCATGCACAGGCTGGCGTGCATGTAAGATTTGTATTTCAACTACTCTTTTTTTCAGCTTCAAGATTGCACCACTTAAATAGATTGCTTTTCTTTAAATTGTATATGGGTTGGTGAAAAAGGGAACAAATTCAAGACGAAAGCAAAGTGGCGATGAATGTGATAATGATTTCCATAAATGTTTCCGCTTACAAGTAATTGGACAGTCTTCTGAACAGTGTTCCTTAAATATTTTATTTGATTTTACAGGTTAAACATTTATACACAATTATTACATTTTTTAAATTACATCTGTACGGTTATGGATCACATAAAACTTTTTAAAAATGAACCTGTATGTATAGTATTTGGGTTTGGTTACTCGATTATCCGAACCATTGAAAAAAATAAGCCAGTTGACTACCGAGCTCTTCAAAGAATCCAGCTGAAACTTTCTTAGCAACGTGCTTAGCAACCCTCCCAGCGAACTTGGTCTTCCGACCACCTTGAGGCGGAACTCCATCGACTAGTATTTCATCGGAAGTCTCATTGATTAACTTATCGACTGACTCCCTTTGTTCAGGCGTCAAGCTAGGGGCTAATCGTGCATATATGCCAAGTAACTCCTGGATTGCAATGATTTTGGAATCGTCGTCCAGAGAGGTTCGTATAATTTCGTTAACTCTTCGGCTGTCAGCCTGACGTTCTTCGTCGGTGTACCCCAAGCAGAGAGAACTAAACAGGATCACTGCAAAGGACCTAAATAAATTATTAAATAAAAATGTTCAAAAATATTGATGACAAATATGTAGAATTACTTACAAAAGAAAAATTTGGGATTTCATTTTGTTACTCTTTATGAAACGCTGATGCAAAACCGAACTGATTGTTTTGCAGCCAAGTAGCTAAATATATAGCCCAGCAAAAGGGAAAATTGATAATCAAATTCCTAGACTGATTAAAGCTCACGTCTGGAGGTGCTCTAGATTTGCATATATGAACGAAATTTGTACATATTTATAAGAAGTGCATAAGTAATTGGCAATTACATATTACAATTGATAAGGTATATTGGCAATTGATAAGGTTGAACGTTATACGATTTACAGGAGAATGCACATCAATACAACAGAATATTATACATACACGTAACCATTTGCTCTCCAAGTTCTAGTACATTTTTATACCCTTGTAGAGGGCTAATAAAAAGTAAAAAAATTAGGTTTAAGGTAACCTTTAGATTTTTGTTAGTATAGGCAGGAAACTAAAGTTAAATACGAATTTATTATAACTCAAAGTAAAATAAGGCTGATTATGCAGGAGACTATTGATCTTATTTCTTTATACATTAAGGATTGGGAATGATAGACTTGAAAGCAGAGTATAAAGGTCGGTATTTAGAGGTTGCACATGAACTTTTATTTAATTTTTTATTTAAACTATTAATATCCCCACACGGATAGAGAGCAAGCTAAATGAGAAGTCTGACTATTTATTTTAAGTACCGGCAGGGCTAATTGAAACACTTAAACCGAAACAACTGCGCACATATACAGACGGTATTTGCTGGGGATACGGTTGACACTTCTGCAGGATCTGGTGGCAATCACACTGATAATACATTTTTAATAGACTCTCAGCCGTTGTCGGCACTTGTGAGCTGGAATTACGCAATCAGGAGGCAGGCGAGCAAGGACACGCAGCCAGATGTTTTGAGCAGGTACGCGACAAACTCATTGCTAGATGTAGCTGTTAGCCCGTTTAAAATTTCTGCTGACTGTCGGGATGGTTTTGGGTGTTTTTGGGGGGTTAAAAGCTGCTTAAATCCCTGGCCCACTTGTAAGGGATTGCGGGCGTACTGCGAGTGCTAATTGCCTAAATCTATCCCACATGGCCCACACAGGCTGCCAATTTGTAGGCCGGCTCTTTAATTAGCTGGCTAACAGGCTGTCGACTAATTAATGAAAGCGGCAACAACGGCAGCCGTTTCAGGTTGGCAGGTTCAAGTTCACCCGCTTAAATTGTGTCAACAGCATTTGCATAATGTGGCCACAGTCGGAGAAAAAGCAGAGCCATTCCATTCCATGCACTTAGGTGTCTACTTCAAAGATCGAGGGTCGGCGCAGTGCAGTCCTTTGCATTTTTAATCAATGGCTTACACCAATACCACTCCATGAAACAGCGAACGCGCGTGGCATGAATAAATTAAAACGATTTCGGGCTACATTTCTTTCCCAAGATTTATTACAAAGCGAAACTCCCGCACTCCGGGACTCGAGAACTCCCGACGCAACTGATGATGATGATGATGATGATTATGCCCCGCCTTCCTTCCCTTTCCGCTCTTCGATTTTCCGATTTTAGGCTGCCACCAAAGATTGTTGCATATCAAATGGCGCCTAAGTGCTGGGCGTGCGCCTCCAAACAAATCAAATCAGAATCGAAGCGCGGTGCTTTTCGGCTTTTTACGGCCCCGACTCCATTTATTTAAATTCAATTTTATATTAGCGGCACTCACTTTCGCCTTTATTACCAATGGAATGGCTTACAAAGTGGATTTGGAGGCGCCTATAAAAGTGGGCCAAAGCAAGAAGTATAAGCCAGAGATGAGACGACTTCGAACTAAGGACTTTGGGGTGTTCTCCGAGGGCTTCATCCATTCATTCAGCGAAGGCATCTAAGCAGCTGCCATGGAATTAAATAGCGTCCTTACAAATTGCTTGCATATGCCACTCCTACTCCAATGTGTCATTCGTCCTTCGTATCAGTCATGTGACATCATTGCCTGCAGAATGCTCTAAAAACACTAATAAAGCGTCCTTGATGTGTACCAAAATAAAAGTGGAGGAGAAAAGCGAGATAGCCCACTAAAAGCTGTTTGAGTGGCTTTTGTGCACTTTTTAATTGAGGGGATGCATCCTTGCACACGTTCAATCAGTTTAATCGCATGGTGAATTAAATTTTCAGGCAGAGAATAAATTATTTATGTTACTTTTTTAATGTCATTTGCTTTTCTGAACTAAAAGAGTTTGTTCAACTTTCACACATTAAAATCAATTTAACATTTTGCGCTAATTTAAATTCAAAATTATTAATTATTATTTATTAATACGATCACAAAAAACCAATATAAATGATTATAAATAAGAAAGGAAGCACGCTTCTGCAAGCCATAGTTTATATACCCGCAGTTCTTACAAAAGTTAAATATTTTATATTTAAAAACAATGACGCTAGGACGATTTTTTGATCTTTCCTATTTTAGCTGGTAGGAGCTATATAATATAATACGTTTCGTCCAAAAAACTGATAGACAAGTTAGCTAGATCGCCTCGCCTGCCGATGCTGATCAAGATCGTATGTACTTAATGGGGTCGGAAACGTATCCTTCCTTCCTTGCAAACTTTTGACTGAAAACATAATGCAATTTACAGAGGTTGAAGAGAAATTAAGGGATAATTAAAATTACTTTTTTTTAGGGCTTTTCAAACTGTAAACGCGGTTAGCAAAGCTTTTGTCTGAGTGGTAAAGTACTCCCCAAACAAATAATGGCAGGAGCAAAGAAAAATGGAATGTAAAGCCAATTTCTTTTTTGTAAAATATGGTAAACACAATATGAAACTACACATCAGAAAGTAAAGCTTGGCATTTACATTCTTTTCAGTAAGCTCGGCATTTCCCTATTTTCCTTTTGGTATTTTGCTTTCATCTCTAGTTGCTTACAGTTCCTTTAGAAGAAAATGACTAACTGCCCAAAAATGTATTTACATTCATGCACAATGTGAAAATATTTCCGAGGTCCTCTTGACCCTGGAATTCTATGGCTCCGGGCCCAGCCTTCACATGTGTATATCTGACTTTACATTACTAAAATTATTTGGCCTAAGAGCCAGAAATGACATGCAAAACTTCCATTCGCATTGGGATAATAAAACCAGCCCAAAGGCCAAAACTGATGGAGGCCAGACGTCTGACAGACGGTCGGAGTGTAGGAAGAAAATCTAAAAGTCAGATGCCTTTTTCGACTTTATCCATCTTGGTTAGAGTCAGAGTCTGCCAGAAAACGAAATCAAAGTGCACTCTCATGCTTCAGAGAGTACTGAAACAGAAAATCACGGACACGAAGACTGTCAAAAACACAAGAACAGTTAATACTCCTTATATTTAACTGTATACCCTTATTCGAATTTACTTTTATTTGAAGTAATTGTATGAGTATACGTACAAGGTCAAGGGTTCAACAGAAATAATTAATTTTTTTATGTTTTGTACAAATGTGTAATGTTTTTTAAATGAAAAATAAAACTTATACAAAACGGGTGGTTATTTAAAATCACGGAAATATAATAGATTGGTAGCATTTAGTATATACTTCCTGTGAAGTATATATTTTGTAAAAGTTATTATTACTGTGCAATTAAAAGTAAAGTATGTAATGGTTTCTGTCGTATTCCATTTGACCTGTACATTTTTATGCGGTTTGACTTATTGAAGTTCACCTGTACATTTTCCCCACTGACTGATGCTAATAATGTGTTGCATACTTTTGGGAGCACCTGCTTGAAAAGCGCTTTCGCCATTTAATTTGAAATAATTACCGCTGAAAGCTAAGAGCCAACTATGTCCGTGCCGTGTGTGTTCCTGCAATTTATACGTGTGCGTACGTGGGAAAATTTGTTGGCCATGTGCGCGTTATGTTGAAATTAATGAGCCAGACCATTGCTCTACTTCATTGCCACAGCGAAGGAAGCACAACACGAGCGAGAAGGATGGACGGCGAACAGAGTGAGAAGGAGGATAGATGGTGATGAAGTTGCACAGACAAAAGCGGAAACAAGCACAACCAGCAGCTTCCGGCCAATGTAAATAAGGCACTAACCGAAAACCCACTGGCAAAGATATGCATGATTACACACACAGCCACGGACGCAGACACAGACACATGATCACACAGAGAACAATTACGATATAGTTATAGCATCCTTATTAAGTGAAGCATAGGTATATAATGTTATATTATTATGAAGGAAGAGCATAGTTTTCTATATATTTAATATATTGATAGCGACTCTAAAAAGTAGATATCACATAGAATCTTTTTAAATAGATTGATAACTAGAAGTCTAATAAATAAATAATTTGTGTTATTGTAAATTTATTTAATACATTTGATTAAAAGTTTCAGGAAACGAAAAAAAATTTATACAATTTTCTCACTCGTCTGTTGTTTATATCTTCCAAAAATTGTTATATAGTTTTTTCAGTGTATTTGGAACTGGCGCATCTGACTGAACCAACTCATTTGCCAGGCAACAGAGCTTGATGATATTTTGCGCGACTCCCTACGATTTTCCCACAACGACATTTTGTATTTATGGCCGCGCACACATGCATAATATATGTATGTGTGTGTGACTGTGGGTATATTAAGCGGGAGGGCCGTTGTTGTGTGTTATTAATGGTCCTTTGCCTTTGTTTGTTAAATTGTTAATACTCTCACATTTACGCGCCTGCAACTCAAGTCGCCATTCGCATGCATTTCCCCATCACTGCCGCTTTGCATTATCCTTGCACTTTTAGCCCAACGCGGTCAACGGCATAATGAGCTCTCTGTTTTATTTATGCCCTTTATTCACCGCTGTTCCGCTGCCTGATTCCTTTGTGCTGTTTAATCCTTTTCCACTTCGGCATGTTAAAGCAGCTTTCGAGGGGAATGCGGTTCTCTGATTAAGGATGGGGCTTCTGCTCTTTGACACAGCCAACAAGCCACCACATGGAGGGAAAATCATCAATAAGTCTCCCGGTACGTAGCCATCATTCAAGTCAAATGTCTTACAGTTATGCTTTTAATTTAATTATAATTAAAGAAAGTTGTTTATATTGTTATTTCTATGAGACACACAGAAACAAAAATGGATATTAACTATAACAAGAAAGCGTTCTAACAGAACGTTT